GAGGTGGAGCGTAAGGATGGGGGTTGTGCGTTGTGGGTTTCGTATATAAGTGTTTAGTAGCTAATGGAAGTGGGGTTTATTGTTGTGTAGCCTGCAACTGGGGATGTGTGGTTGTGGAGATGGTGGATCTGTGGTGGTTGTTTTTTGTTATTGTTGTGGTGGATGTGTGATTTTTTTTGGTGTCTGTGACCTCGCTATTGAACTATTGTGATTTTTTCTGGTGTCTGTAATCTCGGTTGTGGTTTTTTTCTGGTATCTGTGACCTCACTATTGAACTGTGGAGGTTTTTTCTGGTGTCTGTGACCTAACTAGTGTCTGTGATCTAACTATTGAATTGTGGTGGTTTTTTTGGGTGTTTATGACCTTGTTAATGAACTGTGGTATTTTTTTTTGGTGTCTGTGACCTAGCCAATGTCCGTAACCTCGCTATTGAACTGTGGTGGTTTTTTTTTTGTGTCTGTGACCTCCCTATTGAACTGTGACTTTAAAATTGATAATTTGTAATTAAAAAAAGGAATTTGTGACCCACAAATTTAAAAATACGTGACCTGTGACATATAAATTTTTTAATCTGCGACCTTGGAATTGGAGCAGTTACCGAAATTAACGGCCACCGAAAAATGTTCGTCGGAATTAAGCGCGACTGGAGAATAGTTGTCGAAGTAATCGCCGGTTGTTGAAGTAGTCGCCCGAGCAGTCGTTGAAGTGGTGGAGGTGGGGTGGGATATTTTACATTATTGTTAAATATTTAATTTAATAGATTAATTGTAAAATATAATTAATTAATTCATGGAAAAGTCCGAGTTTTGTAAATTTAAATTTTGGGATCTGATTTTTGAATTCGTAAAAGATAATTGTGAACGTATGAATTTTTTCCTATAAATTATAATTTGACCCAAATCCAATATCCAAATCCATTTAATCCAATATAATCTCTCACTAGGGCTGTCCGTGGGTCGGTTCGGTTCGGTTCGGTTCTGAAGAGACACGAACCGACCCAAAACTTTCGGGTATTTAATAAATGGACCCCTCGGGTCCAAATATAATTATGGAACTGTTCGGGTTCGGTTCGGTTCCGTGCCATAATTAGATTTTTTAATATTTTCAACAACACTACATAAATACAATTAATGACATTTCATTCGTAACTTTTACAAATTAACGTAACCCAATTCAAAAACATATACAAAACTAGCCGTCCAATAAAATTAATTCAATGCATACAAATACCAAAAAATAGATATTAATATTACAGCAAAACTATATAAATTATATTCATTTGCTTCAAATTAAAATGGGCTGATGAATTTTAAAATAATTTGGGTTTTAAAATTAAAATTATGAAATGATCTAATTTATTCAATTAATTTGCTAATTTATATAGAAAAAAATAAAATAATTTAATTAATTCAATATAAAAAATAAAAAAATTATTTAGTTTCGATTCTT